CAGATCATATTCATCCATTAATTATAGATGGGGGTTATAGTGGGTTATAACCACCCAAACTTACTTAGTTTGGCTAAAAAGTATTGATGATTCTAATTATTGACAAGTATTGAAATAGTATTACTAGAATCCGAGGAACATTTCTCTCTGCTGAAAAGAAAAAGTGAGTAAATCTGCAGATTGGGAATATAAAAGACACACAAATGCTGAAATTAAAGTCTTCAACTTCTATAACACTTCTGTGGTCAGTATTCTGACCAGTCGGAGTTATCCTCAGTAACACACACTGCAGTAAGTGAGCACACAGATTAGGATAATAAACATTGAATATTGGTGTCAGGTACCAGTGGTGTCAGGTACCAGTTGAGGCCAGTAAACCCCAGTTGAAATCCATTAATAGCTCTGGTAGATCATGGGCGAGAAGGGAATGGAAATAGACTGACTCTTCTGGTGCATTCTACACTCACAAAGGAGCACTGCCCTGTTTTCAAGCAGAACTTTTCCTGTGTTGTCAGGCATTTTGTCAGCAGCTGAAAGAAGTTTTGGTGTGAGCATATGCAGAGGGGAAAAAAAGAATCCAGACCAAATTTGGGAGGAAAAAACCTGGGGAGAGAGTGACTGTTTGAATTAATGTAATTTTGTTTGTGCAGAAGTCAAAACAGTCTGAGTGTAGCCTCAGCCTTTGGAGAGTCAAGCTGGAAGACAGTAGCCAGCACTGGAGAGTAAAGGCAGCAAGGAAAAGAGAAAGAAAAAGAAGGAGCAGCAGTACAGGAAGCAACACATTGGAAATGGAAGAGAAGTAGAAGAGAACATGTGAGACTGAAAAATCCATAAGTGGAAGAAAATTTGCAGGAGAGTTCCTGGAAGACACAAAGATGGGGCTCAGCAGGAAATCCTGTGTGGCACTGCTGCATGAATAGGGTTGGCAGCAAGAGGCACTGAGGAGTGTGGGACAATTAAATTAATTCTGATTTCTGCAGTTTGAACACACGAGAAAGAATGGACCCAAAACTAAGGCATTGGAACCATTGCAATGGTGGTGCCTCTCCATCAGTGTCCTCCTCCATCTTGAAATGGGTCAGCCAGAATGGGATCTTCCACAGAATATTTCCATGGCCTGTCAGGAAAACTGGGATGTTGGAAGTGGCCTCCAAAACCCAGGGAACACTTGTTTCATCAATTCTGTCCTGCAATGCCTAACCTATACCATGTTGCTGGCCAACAACCTGCTCTTAAGAGAGCACAGACAGTCCTGTGAGTTCTTCCTGCACCAACTTTTACATCTCCTGGGCAGCTCAGAAGGATGGAAAACCAACAGTGACTGTGGGAAGAGCTAATTTCTCTCTGGAAGCTGCTGTTATGTGTCACATTCTGACTCCCATCATTTCTTGCTTCCTGTGCCTCCTGAAGTGCATCTGAAAGGCCTGCCTGAAATTTTATGCACCTGTCACTTAAATGTGGGGTTGTTTGGTGTTTGGAGCTGTTTCAGACAGCTCTTCAAGAAAGTTGTCCAATGGCTTCAGGGTCCAGTCTCATGCATGAATTTTGAAAATCCCTTTTCTTGCCTGAAAATAAAACGGTTGCACTTTAGTTTGCTCTAAGTTTTCTCTTAAAACCCACCCTGCCCAAAACCCTTACCCCAATAAAAATACTTTTCTTACCTGCTATATTTTTAAGTATTTTAACGGTCAGTTATTAACACTCTCTGCATCTTCAAGCAGTAAAGTTAATAATTCTCAACTTGTTACATTAAACCCTTGCTGGGGTTTGCAGTGAAATAAAAGGCGTGTACAGCTTCCATCAAAAGGGAGTTTTCATAAGTGTGAGATCTAATGATTCTGATAAAAATTTGTAGTAAAATCTTGCCTACTTAGATTTTTCATCAAATTCTCTCAAATTTAGCAAAATTTCATGGTGACAGTCTCAATTSATTAAATTTGCTTTTCTGTCAGTTCATTTGAGAAAAACAGTCTGAGCGCTCCATTCCAAATTGCTACAGTTACTACCAAGAAGAGTAAGTATAACTCAAACTACTGCCACTAATCCAGAAAATTTATCTTTGATCATAGCAAGACTTCCTTTGAAGTATTACCTGATTAATTATGGCAGATTTCTAGAAGTCTTCCACAGTGGGGAATCCTGTATTAGATCTGTTTCATGGCACCTCATCTCCTGTTCCTGGAAGCAGATAAAAACTGGAGACAAATGTTTGCACTAAATGCATTGTTTAGTGCACTTTACTAGCCATCAATCCAATAAGCCTTTGATCCTCTTTTCCAGAAGGTGTTAAGAGGTATCAGCAACAGCCAGAGAAAAAACACAAAACCAGGGTTTCAGTTTTGCACATTATGTTGTGCCACCACCACCCCCATCCCAAAATTTTTTCATTGCTGCATACTCATTTTTTGTTTAGCTGTTGCCAGTGAACTAGAAGGTTCCCAATCCTTGCACCTGTGCAGTGCACTTTACATCTTAGTCCAAGTCTCTGTTAATAAGTACCAGTAAGAATGTCAGATCCCAATCTAATTTGCTCCAGCACCAGCCTAGATCAAAGCTTTTGTAACCAAAAATGAATTCTTGAATGCACACCATTTTCTTCATCTTCAAGATGCTACAGCAGTACTTGATAATTAATTCATATACTCAATCTTTCTTAAACATTCTGGTGTCTGGCAGCATCTCATTTCCATCACTGGTCAAGTGAAACTGAAACTGATCAGAGAATTAACTACTTGTTGAAATCATCTTACGCACATATATCCAGTATCATGCCTGCCCTTCACAATAAATGCAATCTCTCCAGACAGCCCTGTCTTGTGTCCAAGCTGGACACTGCTGATGGAGACTTGCCCTGCTCTGTGGCGCTGCCTTGTTACAGGGGTTTGTTATAAAGATGGGCCTTGCCACATAAGCASTAAGGTTGAGTTGAAGTTCTTAACTCTTCATTTGGCAAGTTGAATTTGAAGTGGAATTCTCATGCAAAGCATCCAGGTTTTCATAAAGCAGGACCTACAGAATCCAGTCTGCTGATGACTCTGATTACCACAACCTCTCTACAGGTTAAGCCATCCATTAGTGACAGAAGTGTTGCTACAACAGAGCTAACAGAAAAATATGATTTTCATTCATTAGTTTAGTAACTTCTTTTCAGTTCCACATAACCTTTTTCACTGATCCCTCAGAAAGGACAAGATTTCAACGATGAGATACTAATTTGCAAAAGACTCATTTTAAGACATTAAATACAGATAACACAGACCTTGTGCTGATTTCAAACTTAGGAAAYTGTTTTCAATTCTCATTTMAAAATCATCTGAAATTCACTAGCACTAAATTACTAGTTTTCATGTTAAATTAATGTGTCACACCACGTTAAATAGGTTGCGTTCTTTTCACGAAGATTAAGCACCTTCTACAGACATACAACACATGTCCTACCTATGAACTTGGTCTTGTTTGCTGCACCGCACAGGAGCAAGAGCATCAGTCTCATCAGGGAAAATAATTAAAGGCTGCATCTGGTAGGCCTACAATGAAAACACAGGAATACTGATATCAGGAAAACAGYGCTATTTGAAAGAGAAAATACATGAAAAACATTACAGTTGCAAGAGCACTGGAACTGGTTGGTTTGGGGTTTTTTGAGGGGGTGGTGGTACTTTGCAAGATTTTCTTGTTTGCTTTACTAATATTCTTGTTTGTTTTCCCAATAGATCTCAAGATTTCAAGCTCCCAAAAACCCCACTGGAAAAGGAAACACTGACAATCCCATTTCAGTGGAAGAACATGACAAAACATGAAAAAGAATTTCTTCTGTACCACAGAAAATCAGTTACAACTGAGACAAAACATGTGGCACATTTCAGCCTTACCTGCTCAAATAATAAACAAAGCTGTTATTCATATTCTCAGTTATGAAGAATTAAGAAGTTACCCATTCACTCAGGCATTTGACACCATTTCTCATAAAAAAGGTTCCTCTCCCATCACCCTGGCTACATTCATTAGCAAGTGCACAAGCTACCAGTGTCTTTTCAATTCCTGGTGGACCATAGAATAGGAAATCTCTGYAGTTAAAAAAAAATCACATAAGCAAAAAACACATGATGGGAAAGTGCCAATTATAACCCCCATCCCTAAAACACAACTTCTGCTCTCCTCAGCAAAATACTTCATGGATAAGACAGCAGGAACAGGTAAGTGTGAGAAAAGTCAAAARTGTTCCTACACAATTCAACAAGGCAGCAAATGAAATTAATGAAGAGGATAATGTGTATGTATAAAACATTGAGAAAAGATAGTAGCATTCCAGCAGGACACTTCTAAAAGCTCTGACAAACTGAGGTGGTTACAACACAGTGGATCCAAACAAACTTTCAGCGCAGAATCTGAGACCAGRGTAACTTAGAAATCACCAGTTCTGCATATTCATTCTTGTTTTCACAAAAGGCAAGATTTGAGAGTAAATCATTTAATTCCCCCTTTAAAAGCTTTAAATTACTGGGTTTGATCTCCCTTTGTGGATGATAAAGAACAAATAATCTAGAGCTGGGAAAGTATTCTGCACTTCTGCATTTCTATTAGCTAGAAAAGCCAATATGATGCTGCTTCAAAATTAATTTCAATTAATAAAGAAGCAAAAGACAAAGATCTTCTTTTCATTGTTTGCAACTTTTTAAAGTCACTGAAAGCAAAGAATTTAAAGTTCTATTTCAATATACCATGACTGACTTTTTCTGACCAAGAATATACAAAGTTAATAATTAAATCTCCAATAATTTCATTTTGTAACACAGAATTCAGCATGTAAGAAGTGGACAGATTCTTATTTTAGTCCAAGCACAACAAACATTGCAATATACTTATTAAAAGTCCTATCAATCATAAAACTGATCCTTGAGCATTTGAAAAAAAAAAGTTTGTGGGAGAGACAAGGGGACKTCCATGAAACAAACTACAGCTGACTGCCAGTAGGTAATTCCTTGTATATGGAATTCTAAAGGAAAAAATCTCCAACTCCATCTTTTAAAGGCAAGACAGCTTTAAAGGATAACCTCAGATCAGAATAAATCTCTGAAACTACACATATCCTAATTTCTATAAATGTTTTAAATACTGCTTTTTAATCTTTATAGAACTACTTTTTAGTACTGCTAAAAAAACCCCAAATCATCAACACTATCAAAAATTTTGGTGCATTTTTATATGTTAAAGAAAGCTGCAACCTCAATAAGGTTCCATCAGAAATTTCATGTCAGCACAAAGGAAAGGTTCACAGCAATTTTCAAACTGCTTGAGAGAAACCTGTAAGCCAAGGGAGCTGTAGATAGCCCATTACTGGAAGCATTCATAAACCATGCAAACGTCTCATTGACGTGGTAAAGTAAAAATACTTACTGAAACATCTATTTGCATTGGCTCATCACCAGACAGATTTGCTTCTATTTTCATGTGATCCTTGTGAAGATTTGAAGTGAAAACGCAAGCCCTGAAACTGCTGTGTGTAAATGGTGTCCATTCAACAATCATAAGGCAATTCAGGAAGCACAGTATAAGATGTGTGTTGCAGCATATCACTGCTATTTCATATTTTCTGGAAAAGAGATGTCTTTCTCCTTAAAGCATAGCTGTGGCATTACCATGACAGTAAGATTTTAATCAGAGAGCAAAAATAAAGGCTACTTTGCACTACACTATGCTTTGGAAGAACTTTTTTTTCAGCTAAATTAAAATAACAATTATGTAATCACTCCATGTGATCAGTAAAATCAATTAGTGTCTACTTCTTCCAGTAGAACACCCCATGGTCTCCCATCCTTTGCCTTCTACACGTCTTTTCTGTACATCCAGTTTTTTGCAAGATTGCTTCTGCAGTACTGAGATACAAAGTTGATAAGTAAAAGCAAAGATAAATACAAAAATTCCCATTGAAACCAGCACACATGATCATTATGACATTTCAATATAGTGAACACAAAGCAAGAATCACTGGCATTTAGCCAAGTTTTTCAGCTCCTTAAAAATTAGGTCAAATGTTTACTTTTTTTATAGAGACACTTAAGAACAAGTGTTGGAGGATTTGCAAACACAGATAATTTCCAGGTTTATTTTCCCCTCTTGCTGAACACAGTAAAAGAAAAATTCCATTTAGTAGGAAAAAAATAATTCTGAAGATACAGGGAGATAATAGGAAGAAATTATGGCAGGCTTTCATAGCACTAAAGTTGCTTTGCATGATAACATGAAGTCACTTTTAGTTCCCAGACTTCCTCAGACAACAGGTTACTAATTCTTCTCTTAACCAGAGTTAAGGTCTTGTGCTGATTTTCCATGACAATATATTGCAGAAAAAGCATCTTGCTGCTGTTAACACTTTGCAAACCTTTCASAAAACAAGGTCAATTTGGGCTTCAGAAAAAAAAATTAAGACACAGACACATAGGCAGAAACACTAGGACTGCTTCACTTTGCCTGTATCCAACTTTCTGCTGCATCTTAACTTGACCGGGCATTACGAAATTGTTTGTAAGCATGAAAGAAAACTTAATTAACCATGAAGCTGCTTCTGATGCCAAGAAAATCGATTTAGAGGACAAGTCAAGTCTACAGAAGGTCACAACATAAAGTTATCATTATAGTTCCCAAGAATCAGCCCACACATAAAAGATGCTCTGGTGTGAAGATCTCTCTGCAACTGGCAATCCCAAAATAAAGACACTGGTGGCCAATTTAAATATTGGCTGTGCCCAAATTCTTTASACATTAAGCACCTGCCAAATACACCCTCCTGCACACATGCTCAGATTTGTGTCTAAACAGCCACAAAGCACCTGTTTCCAAAAAACTCATGTTAAACAGCTTGGCCCATGCTGTATATAAATCAGTACATTAAGAATAATTACGTGACAGCTCAGACTGAACACTGGATGGATTTGAGGGAGAAGTGGAAGACCAGGCTGTTATGCTCTAGGGTGCTCAGACCTCCCAGTCTTGCTCCCTTTCCTGTGTCCCTCTTCCACAGTTGGAGAAACCCAGCTCAGTGATGTGGCTCTCGCCTATCTGTGTCCCTGTCTGAGCTCGACCAGAAAATCCAGTTGACAGTCAGCAAGTTCAGTGGGTTCATGATTACTACTGAAAAGCCCCACTACCTAGTTT